CAATATTTATTAATTTCCCTTTTATGTACTTATTCTTACCAAACAATAACAATTTGCTTCGTGAATTTTCATATACATACGAGTGTGTGCATTCCGTTTGACTATTGTTTTTTACATTTTGATTTGTTGCAATTCATATAAAGCCGGCAGAAGAAATTTGACGTGGTCGCAAATTAAAAATATATACACATACATACATATATTGCATTAGAAAATATGGAAGGAAAAGTTACCGTTCTTACACCGACTAATCGGAGACAAAATGTTAAAGTTACACCCAACACGACTTTACTACAAGTAATGTTTCTGTTTTATATACCATAAACGTTGATTCAATATCCAATGTTTTTAGATTTTGGAGGAGGTTTGTCAAAAACATGATTTAGATAGCAGCGAATACTGTCTAAAGCACCACAACAAAGAAGTGGGCCTTACTCAAATATTTCGTTTTAGTGGGCTTCCCAACAACTGCTTATTGGAAATGTCGCAGACCGAACGCAGACGCACCGAGTCAAATGTGAATATCTGTGTTCAATTGGAGGATGGATCGCGTGTTCAAGGTCAGTTCAAGCCCAGCAACAATCTCTGGGAAGTTGTCGAAGAGCTTGGGGCTGAGGCAATAAAAAGTTATTCCAGTCCTGTGGCGATTTACATGCGTCAAGAAATTATTGGCAAAAATCGCATGGCGGAGACAACTCTCAAATCATTAGGCATATTCGAGGGCCGTGCCATGTTTCGGGTCATGGACAAGACTGCAGAAGAGCTGAAGTCGTACGTCTTAAACAATATTTGGGTTTGCATTCTTATATTTATGTGCGCTTTTGTTTCACTTATTATGTCGTAATGGGTTGGCCGAAATTATTATTTATCACATGCACACGTTGCCACACCCCACTCCCCCTTCGCTCACCACGCCTTTAACCATTGCACATATGTATAGGAAAGTTTCCCCCAATATTTAAAAGAAATTACTCAATATTGTTAATTGATAAATTTTAGTCAAGCCAATGTTTACGTACCATCGAAAGTAAGGGAAAAGCCAAAAGAGGAACACGAAAGGTCAGTGCCATCTCAACAAGATTCAACCCATATGGGCGGTGGTGGTGGATTCGCTATAACGAAAGATTTGGTGCAATCGCTAAAGAAGTCAGAAGTTGCGGAAAATGCTGAAAATTCTGCTACGCGTAATGTAGGTCCGGCAGAGATCAATAAGGAGATCGAGCCAGAAAAGCCCAAATATGATTGGGGTTCGGGTACTGGTTATTCTATACAAAATTCGAGGCATGCACAAGATACTGCAAGTAATGCGGGTAATTTATTAGACGAGGAACAACCTGAAATGGAAATAGAACCGGAAGTCAATATTGTAAGTGCCGTCATTTAAAATACGATTATAGCTTCGTAGTTATTGATTCAAAACTTTCACTTAACTAGATTGGTGAACGAAACGCTGTGCTGTTTTCCTTGGATGATACACAAACTCAAGCAGAAGAATTACCCGATTCGTTTTTCGATTTAACCGTCGAGGACCTTAGATTGGTATTGCGCGATTTGAAAAAAGCGTCAAGGGGTGATGAAGATGCCCCCCTACTCACGGAGCGATTGCGTCAATTGGAAGATCAAAAAACCATGTTAAACAAAATTTCACAATACAAGAATTGCGTAATACGAATTCAATTCCCTGACCGACTCGTTTTGCAGGGTATCTTCAAGCCAATCGATAAAATCTCCGATGTTATGGATTTTGTGCGTCAATTTTTGCAGGACCCCGAAGCGAAATTCCATTTGTGTAAGTGATGAATAGCGACCTTTTATCAGTCCTAAAAACTCAGGTCTGTATTATCTATTAACTTTTCAATTATTTCCTTTCCTCTTTTTTTTTCTCTACTTTGTTCTAAATTTTAATGTTATTTCAATGCTTTTTTATAAATCAAATAACTTTTTAGTTACCATACCTCCAAAATATATATTGCCTTCGGATGAAACGCTCTTGGAATTGAATTTTGTGCCAACTGCCGTTGTACATTTTGTATTTGAGGACAAAGAAGAAAATGCAAATGTCGCTGATAAGTTGGTTGAGTCAGCATATTTGAAGTTGGAGCTGAAGGAAAAGCTCACAACTGTTGAAGGTGCCTTTTATGCAGCAAATAAAATGCGGTGAGTGGCAACGATTGGAAGGATTTGTAAAGTATTCAGGAATTGCATCTGTGTCAAGTTTAAACTAAACTTATATTTTTTTTTCTACGTTTTTTAGATTCACTAATCCTCGAGTCTCTAATCGAAGTGCAAATTTAGATAGCGATTTCCCACTGCGTTCGCAAAATGAATACAGGACACCAGACACATCGTTGGGCGCCATACCGAAACAACGGAATTTTAACAATATGATTTGAGAAAAGTAAAAACAATAAATAAACAAGTGAAATTTGGTAATTCGGATCAGGGATCATACTACCCATTTACTTATTTTGTATTTTATTAGTAAATCGATGTAATCGGTTTGTTCATTTTTTACATGCATTTTCCAAATAATCAAGAATTACTTACAATAATATATGTACAATATATAAAATAATGATACTTGATTGCGTAAATCGGCTTAACTATGGGATTGTAAGTATAGTTTTTTGTTTGATTTACAATAAAGTGCGTTTCTACTACACACAAGTATATGTATTAATAATAGATGTATATATGTAAATATTACTATTTTTTGTTTTGTTTTTGTATAAGCAAATGTTTCGAAAAATACCACATTATCTTTATTTTGGACACCTCGCCCGCAGCATAGCTTAGGTATAAGCATATTTAAATGTATTTTATGTTTGTATGAGTAGTCAAAAGTACACAGGGATTCATGAGGCACTTTCTGCTTTGTTCGCTTTTGTCTTAAATTTTCGGTCTAATTTTAATTTGATTATACATACATATGTGTATCAAAATACAAAACTATAAATAGTGAATAAAAATCTTTTGATCTTCCCGATACTAATATGTCGTACGATACATTCGCATCATTATTAACTTAAAATTATAACAAATATAAAAATTGTTCAACAAAAAAATATAATACAATAATATTAAAATACTTTGCATTGTTGCAAGCGGGGAATCTCAAAAACCATTCTTGAAAACATCATTAACTTTGTGTACAGATTTCCTGTGTCGCTAAAATTTACAATTAAAATAGGGAAAGACAAATAATTGTATGTATTATAGGTACAATGTAACTGGAAATTGCTTTTCGACAAAATTAGTACAGTTATATTTTACTAATTGGCATTGTTCTGTTCAACCTTTTGTTTTCCTTAAGGATAAAGTTTTTCTTATATGAATATCTATAGATAATCCTTAGTAAATATCATATTTGCATGCATATGTACATGTACGTGTGTATTTCCTTGCACGGTACTTCCCCTCTTCCCGCTACCAATCAACAGCATAACTTTCGTCTGCGATGGCGTTTACGCCACCATCAAATGTTTTCGTTCAGCAAAACCACGCTATGCTCTTGTGCAATCGCTGCCAATTCCTTAAGCCATTCATCAAGTAAAACAGCACATAGTGCCAGATCTCTTGTGCGTTCTGTGCCGCTTGTGTTAGCTATAGCGCCCATAGATGAAAGCGAATCCAATGAGACCGGTTCCGAGCCAGAACCACCAATCGCGGCGCCACTGCTTGACACAAGTATTGAATTCATTCCAATAGTATTGCTTTGTTGTGTGTACGTATGTGTATGTGTGTTGTGCGTTGCAATACCGCTCGGCGATGTTGTGCTGCCCGATATTTGGATAATGTGCGATGTGGTGTCTGCAGCTGTTGATTCGGAAATAGCCATAGAGCCGGGCATTGTCGTCAAGCTTGTTTCACGAGTGCTATGCGCAATTGTGGAGGTTTGCTGCTGTGATGTTGATCCATTGCCACTGGCGGAGAATGTTGAAGCTAAGGAGCCGCCTAGAAAAAGTTGTGAATCGTAAGTGAAGTTGAAAAGTTTACATGAATTATGTAAACTATACGCGCACACATACATACTTATGTTAGGAGGGGAAAACTAGGTATGCGTTATTGTACGTGGTCTATAAGCTACAGTGTGAGGTAAGAACTTTCTGAATAACGTGATAATAGCACTTAGTAAGTATAAAAGCAATATTATACAGTTATAAATACTCTCATGCTTTATCACAAAATCATATAAATAATTATTTAATAAGCGAGAGGAAATTTAGTAACAATTTTAATAAGTTAATTGCTTTTCCGCCCCTTTTTTAAGCACATAAGTTGAACTCTAGTGCATTTAAAAATTGAGTTAAGTATAAGCCATGCAGATAAGGAGAATACAAATAAGTTTAGCTTATAACAAATTAGATCATGAAAAGAAAAAAACCGTTTTTCCCGTTGGATCACCGAAAACATCGGTTCTTACTTTAAATCATAATACAAAAAAGAAGGTAGAAGAAATTTACTAATAATTTTAATAAGTTAATTGCTTTTCCGCCCCTTTTTTAAGCACATAAGTTGAACTCTAGTTGTAGCCGCTACAACAACCAACAACAACAACAACTCTAGTGCATTTAAAAATGGAGTTAGGTATACGCCATGCAGATAAGGAGAATACAAATAAGTTTAGCTTATAACAAATTAGATCATGAAAAGAAAAAACCTGTTTTTCCCGCTGGAAAGGGTCACCAGAAACATCGGTTCTTACTTTAAATCATGATACAAAAAAGAAGGTAGTTTCAATAAACAACTTTTGATGGATAATAAAATTTTTTAAAGTTTCCTAAATTGTGAACGGCGTTGCCACTTTGGTCGCACGATTTTTTTTTTAATTATTTTTATATTTTGTCGGGATTTCTTGTCTGGATTGTGCCTTGTCGGGATTTGGTCGTGTCTGGATTACGTCTGGTCGGGATTTGGTCGTGTCTGGAATATGTCTGATCGGGATAAGGCCGCGTCTGGATTATGTCCTTCGGGATCCTGTATTTCGGTATTTTGTATATCGGGATTCCATTATACGCCCCACTTTTAAATATAAAACCGATTTTCTAAACTTTGCATATAATCGGCCCTATCGCGAATTTCACATGAACAAATATTCCCCAAAATTTAAAGCGAAACAAAAACAATTTTTCCCAATTGGGTTTTGTTTTGCATGTTAAATTATGGGAACGATTTATTCACATGGAATTGGCAATAGGGCTGAATATAATAAAATAAATATACTACTATTACTACTACCATGCACATTAGGGAGGTCCAAAATAAGTAAAGTCAGAATTTTAATGGTCACCCCCTAGAGTAGTTCTATATCGAAAAATATACCCCTATTTTTTATTTTGAAATCAAAACATATTTATAGGTATAGGGTATAGGTATAGTGAAAATAAATATGTGTTAGTTACACCGATATGACTCTGGCATGACTCTGAAGGAGGAATATGACTATAAGTTATCATCTAAACCCCAAATTTTAGATGTCGTTTTGGTAATTTTTTACCAAAATTTTTAGTTGTTTTCTTTCTTTATTAAATTTGGGGGTGTTAATCCAAGAGCAAAATATGGCATAATTAGCCTAAGACAAACTTCTGAGAACGACGAGCAATCCAAAAATTGATTTTCTCGGCTACACCTAAGTTTGAAATCCAAGCAGACGAGCTCGGCTGTCGGCGATACAAATTTTAAAAAACCTTTTGTTTTTCTATTCTACAAATCCCTAATGAAGTGTTAAGTTTAGGCCTCGTAAATCATGATCAATTCATAAGTTTAAGAGGACATTTTTAGGTTCGAATTACCATTTAAATTTTGTCATATAAAAGTGTAGGAGATAATTCTTTGTACTTATGTACATATGAAGGTGATAGATTTGCAAAACAAAAGGATACAAAAGCAATTTTCTACTAACTCATACACACACACATACTTGTGTACTTAAACTAATCTATACAAATTCTATTACATACACATGTATACACAAAAACAAAAAAGGAAAATAGCAATATTGCTAACGATTACGTAGAATGCATATACATATATAGATAAATCACTATCTTTTTTGTGAAATATTTACCGGTGAAGAATGCGTAAATTTGTGATAAGCCAGATGAAGCTAGGAATTCAGAAAATACAAGAAATAATAAAAGTAAGTATCTAATATACCATTAAATAGTTTTGTATGTTCAATAGAATAAAATGCCACACATACATGGGGAAATCTTTTGAGACGGGGACATTTTGCCTATTGGTATATTTTTGCCGCCACAAAGCAGCTGCACTGCCAAGTGCGGTTTCTATGCCTTCGTTAATACTACTTATACATATGTGTAAATATCAGTAAATAATTATTCATAACAAAACTAACGTTTTAAATGCCTAAATTATTTGCTAAACTCGAGAAAATCAGGAAATTTCTAGTGCAACTCGCACAAAATCTACTTTTTATTAATAGTGGTATTCGCGCTTCTGTGTATTCGCTGTATCCTGCGTAAGTGTAACTGGAAGAGCGTGTGGTAGTTGTTGCATGTGTATTTGATGTAGCGCTAGCAACAACAAATCACACGCTCATGCAGCTACGATTACACAACATACAACGAATACACATAAGAGCGAATTCCCCTAATGTATAACTTCTGGAAAAACCCGATCTCAAGCTTGGTGTTTTCAGACGTTAATGTATTTGTAGGCTCCGAGGAATAAAATTATGAGAAAAAGGCTGCTCACAACTGTAACTGAATTTAGCGTATTTTATAAAACGCGTATTTGGGTCTGTGTAAAAAATGCTCACCTCTAAAAATTATTTTATTGGTCAGTACTGGTTAATCTTTACTAATATAAACGCGAATGGTTTGTTTGTTACGCTTTCACGCTTTAAATAATCAACTGATCATCAGGATAGCTTTTATCTCAATTAGCCCACGTTCCCACGACAGTCGGGTCTACGTAACCGGAATGACCCAGATTTATATTTGGCCAAGGACTGTCACTCCAGCAACACTACCCAAAAACTCTTTGTGGAACTTGTATGCTGCTACAACAACAACAACAACTGAAATTTTATACTACCACCTTTTACAAAAATTAACTTATATTTAAAGTATTTTATAAATGAAATGAATTATTACAAAATGTATGTATGTATGTCGATCCAGTCGTTGTATCCCAGAAATGGTGATTCTTAGGAACAAAAGTGTCATAACGGTTTTTGCAGATAATTGTATGATCTACACTTTTGTCTAACCTATTTTTAATAATAAACCTTACCGTTAAGCTTAAAAATGGGCACAATCAATTTATGTGACCTTTGACCTTGAATAATGTTTTTACAGATCTGGGATCGATCAGGACTTTTCAAATTCCATTTATAATGATGTTCGTAACATTCGTACCAAATTTCAGCTTTATGCGGGTTACTGCAACCTTCAAAATGACCGGACTAGTAAGAAACGAGTTTAAAGATATGGTTTAAGTAGAGTAGCGATTAAAAAATATTAGTTACACAGGTTACAATGTACTTCAATTAGGTTGACAAGTGATAATTTATAGGAAAAAAATGCCCTATGTTGGATTTATAATTTTTTTTTTTAAATCTCCATCTCAAAAGATTTTCCCGCATACATACATGTTAAGAGGGCCTTGCCAAACACGCATTAAAAGCGTAAATAAAAATAAAGACACAAGTAAATTTATATTCAACAATGAGCATTAAAGGATAATTAAAATATAAGAAGAAAATGTTCGTTTTCGTTTATGAAAAGTGGTTTGTAGCTGGTAATCAACTTAAGTACATCCACGAGTTTATAAATCAAATGCTCACTTCTAATTAACGCTTTTACTGAGTTTTTGCTAAAGGCCCAATTGGAGTGGTCGGATGTGAAAAATGAATAAATAATGCATACAAATTACAATTATGTAATTTTCAAATGAAGTACCAAGCCGTAGTGAAACATTCGCATTTTATCTTAAATTTTTATATGTGAAATAAACAGATTAAAAAATGATAATTACTTAGAAAAAAATTAAAAACATAGAAAAAACGTACGATTCCTCACAACCCAATGTAATCAGGAAAAATTATTTAAATAAAAACTTTCAAATTCCCACCAATCACAAATAATTGCACTGATAATGATTAGTTCAATTGAGACGCGCACAAATTTTTCATGTGTGTTGCTTATATGTGTGTGGAAATATGTAACTTCTGCTCATGTGGGGGCGTTCACAACTTACCGCTGGATTTACGACTAAACATACTAGTTATGGATTTGCTGATACTTTTACGCTTATTATCGTTCCGCTTGAAGGGGTCATACGACGATGAGGGTGTAACTTGTACTGGTGATGCTGACGATATGCCTGCGAATGTCGTTTGCGGACCGAAACGCTGCTGCTGCTGTGGAGGCAGCGTATTTTTAGCAATATGCACTGGTGAATTGTCCGTCGCCTTACGCGCGTTTATCAAACGAAATTCGCGGTCGATGAGATAAGAGCGAGCCACATCGACAATTTCAAGCGAATCCTCACACATCGGCAATTCCGCATCAATTTGTTGCTTAAGTATGCGTAATATTTGCTGGAACGATGGTGTGTCCGAAGTGATAACAATGTCCGGCCGCAATAGAAGCGAATGAACCAATGGTAGTGGATAGCAGGCGAGCCGCGTAATCAAACCAGTAAGATGTAAGTTTACATATAACGTGTTGCTGGTGAACGTTTGCAATTTACCCCATATTGCGTTTAGGAAGGGACCTGAGGTGAAAAATGAAAATAGTAGCAACATAATTAATTATTATTTTAGGGGTACGCCGCACACTTACCTAAACTTACTGTCCCTTGCGCAAAGAGATCTTCCGAAAAGTCTAAATCAGTAAGGACTAAATCGTTGTTGTTGCTCGATACGCGCCAAATTTCTTTTCTGTATTGTTTCGCAGCTACACTGTTGCTATTGCTACTGCTCCCACTATTATCTAGCTCACCTTCAGCGCCACTTGAGCTTAACATATGCATTGTGGAATTAGCGGTTGAGTCTGTACACTCACCACCATCTTCATCGACGGGTCGCCACTTAAATGACTCATAGCCGCTTGATTCTCCTATGGACTGCAGACTGTCCGGCTGTGTTTTTTCCACAGCAACTCTGGCGTTTATAGCCGAACTCGCGCTTTCGTTTTCCGTCAAAGCATTTCCTCCAAATTCAGTGAAAAATTGTTTAACCATCTCTATAGCCTGAGTCTGCTGTGCGCGTAGATTCTTTGGTGGCCACTTTTGGTATTTGTATGTGTTCCTCCATTTGGAACAGGCATTCTTACATTGTGTGATGCGGCAATGCGCTTCAAAGAGGTACGCGTGAAAGTTGGCATAGAGACTGTTGCCCGTGTGCACGCCGTAGTAGTTCCAATTTGCGCCGATGGTTTTACTCATTGTCGAGGTTGGCGAAGGCAGCGCTGGGTGCGGTGGTTGTGTTGCCACTGTGTCACCGAGTGATTTGTGCTTAGTTAATTCTCTTGCGCGTTTCATTGCGTCTGGTGTAAGGTCCAGAAAAAATTCGGCTGTGTTTGTGTACGGGTCGATTTTATTTATTTTATGTCGATGCGAAATAGGCACATGCTTGCCGGGCAGTATATACTTCAATAAAAGCTCCAGCATTAGGTCTTCGCAGTGCAACGCAAGCATGGTATCGAACAATGCCATTGTTACCATACACAAATTTGCATCCGTGGAACCCAGACGATCTATTAATATGTCCAATATCCGTTCTCCATCAAACTTTTCCGTATCCAGGAGAAATTTGACAAAGGCGCGCAGTAAACCTGGCTCTGTTATGGATCTCAATATTAAATCCAAATAGGACATTGCTGATATTTGTGACTCAACGTTTGTCTGGAAATGTTTGCCTTTCAATGTCTGTAAAAATTATCAAAGAATTGTTTCGATTTTTCGATCGGTGTTGATTAAAGAAAGAAGGATGAATAACATATAAAAGGGGACGCATAAGAGTTAGCAAAATATAAAATCAACATAAAAACGTAAAGCAAGGAATGAAGGCCAATGTGAACTAAATAGTGTTACCTTAAAAAAAATTGAATTTTTTCAACTGCTTCCATATGTAACTATTGATTTTCAACGATGATACAATATTTTATTATTATTTACTACGCTATAAATATACTTATCTATCTCTGTGAGTCATACAAAAGTTGCCGTGGACAAAATAATGAAAGATTTTAGTTGAAGTTATTACATGGTAAGTTATCTTCTGCAAAATAAATGCTAGCACAATGTTTTGTCCGTGAATAGTCTTCATTTACATGCTTATCGTTTAAAAGCGAAAAAAAACTTACAAAATAATTTGCCCCTCTTTAAATAACAATTTACACATACCTAGGTAGCTTAAGAAAAAAAAAAAAATAAATGGTATACATAACCTCAAAGGACAAAGTTAAGGTACAATTTGCATGTAAGGGGGCTTCCTGCAAAAACGGACTGCAGTTTTTATGGGCTGGTGGAGGAAACCCTGGATCATAGCCTATGTAACTGCTCACTTATCATGACTAGTAGACTGATACATCTTGGTGAACGATTATCATCCCCATCCAAAATTTGAAAATCGCACCCTATAGGCACTATAGCTTCTTAAATAGCCCAAGGTTGGGGAGCTTACAATTACGGTTTAGCAAAATAAATCTGTTTAGCTCGAAACGCGAGTATATCTGACGTTAAATAAAATAACATACTTATATTACAAATAACTAAATTATTGATGAACCAACACCACAGACAAATCGAAGACAATTCCACAAATGTACGGACCATGTGAGGTGGTCAGATATTCTTACCTGTAATATTGCCGGGCCCAGTACAGGTACAATAAAGCCCTGATAAAGAAAATCTAAAAGCTGGTTTTTAATCATCTCATGGGCAACTTGTACCACAGCATTGCAGAATTCTAAGGCGTTCATAAACAAAGTCAGTTCCGGTATTTCCGTCACGTCGTCGGGTGTTATGCGATGCCAGTCAATCGATGTTATTTCAATGGAGTTGGGCAGTCGTGAATACAAACCGCCTAAGCCGGTTACCAGTAGCGGGCACATTGATGAATACTGTGCAATGTAGGTGCCAACATTCGAATTTTTTTGCGACAAAGCCATACAGAGTAGTAGTGCATCTCTGGCTTGGTGGCCGATGCTACCTTCTCGATGCACGTATGGTATAAGTAGTGAAAATATAATGAAACTAGGAAAAAAAACAGTAAAAATATGTACTAGAAAAAGCGTGATACAATCAATTACTTAGTGCTTGAACCATTGTTGGTACGCAGCAGCTCTTGTCCGCTGTCACTGGAAGTATGTTTGTGCTGTTCCTGTGCCGCCGAAAAGAAAAACAGATCGAGAAGATGAACGTTTTGCATTAAAACCACGCATAGCTGATTCAATAATATAACTAAACGTTTTTCCAAATCTGGAGGAAATATTTCACCCTGGCTCGAAGCGAGTATCTTCAAAAGCGGCCTCAGAAAGGGTTCATGACAGAGTAACTGATGTCGCGAATGACTAACAAGTAGTTCATACAACTTTAATTGTTCCAATCGCACAGCATTGGCGTAACGGCCTGTGGTACAGCCCCATTCGTATAGCTTATCAAGTAGGTTTTCACTGAGCATATATTCTAAACATGGCGCAGGTGGTGGCGCGGCATCTGCTGAGGGGATTGATACTTTGTTGCAATGATGTAATTCTACTAGCAACAGTGTCACCATAAAATCAAGATGTGATACTACGCCCAGTACATCATCGTGTGAAGAAGGTCGCTGTGGTGCATTTGATCGTTGAATAATTTCGTAGGCTTGCTGCCAGTGTTTACAAAAACTATCATAACAGGCTCGAGGATCACAGTCTGTGGCTGCGTCGATCGGTCTTTGTCGTAAAGCTGTTGATGTGGTTGAGCCTCCTGGGCCGTTATTGCTATTAGCAGCTGAAAAGAATGGTGAACTGTTTCCGCTGCTGCGTGTTAAGCTCTGTCGCAGCGGGCTAGAGCGTAGCCAACTCATTTAGTATGTATAAACTACTTCGACGCAGATAGTGAAATTTAGTAGCGTTGTTTACCGTGCTTGGTTCAAGATATCAACTTAGAGTCTGAGTTCTTATTCTTATCAATTATACATACAGTAGCCACCTAAGCCAATGAAATCTGGACTATCTATTAAGCTATTTATGTAAACGACTTGCAGAACATTTTCTGATCGGTTTTATGCTAAAAGAAAAATTTTAGTAGTCAATATTACAGTATATATTAAAGTGCCAATACACTATTCAAGGTGCGTATAATTTAACAATCATGCATATGAAATACACATGTATATACATATATCTGTGGTCATAAGCAATAACCGCCTAAGTCGACTTGGGAAAGAAGTGAGTTATATATGCTGTCGTATTCTGCAACTACTATTTCATGTGTATGTGAAATCTAATCTCACCATCCAGGCTATTTAAAAAGTTATAGACGAACATATTTTGATATCCCGATAAAGATAACATTATTATCCAAATGTCTAAAACATTTTTTCTCGAATTCAGGTTTTACGACTTAAGCGGTTATTGCTTATGGTCTGATTATGCATACTTCGCATAACTTCGCACAACTTCGCACAACTTCGCATAAACTTCAAACTGTAATTTCGTACTTTGTATCTAATTTGTATGTATTCCACTACCCAGAAATTAGCAGAACTTTTAAGAACTTAGCGATCTGTTGAGTTTAGATTTTGCTTCACATTTTCTTAAGTTACATTGTTATTGCACTGGTACAAATGGTTGTGCGAAGTTATGCGAAGTATGCATAATCAGACCCTTAGGACTACAGTATACAAATATGTATGTATGTACGCACATTAATGTAACATTTCATGTAAAAATAAGGTGTGTAGATTTAGATTTCAAATTAGTAATTTACCTCTATTTTGATTTTTGGCCAATGCCTAAAGTGGGTATTGCACCTGGTTCTTATACCTATTTACAGTGTCATAACAGACATTTGTGCTTTAAAAATTTAAATATACAAGTACATATAGCTCCATGAAGCAGGGGAGTCCAATGTTACAACTCCCGCACCAACCCCTCTTCTAGACCACAGCACACCACCTCTATTTCGCACAGTGCTATGTTTTTTTACACGACCTTAACTAATTTTAGTTTCGGTTTATCACTAAGCTAAGCATTATTAATAGTGCATTTTCGAAAGTATAAACAATTTCTTTTATATGCACTAACAAATTTATGATTAATTTTATTAAAATACTATTTAATACGACATTTACCCCGAGTAAAATTTTAATCAACCATCCGAATAGAAGAAAAAGAAAGTGTATGACTAAAATTACCGATCACAATAGTTTTGACAGCAGCAGCGTTGCCGTTTCACTTACATTTAAGCAAAATTGATTAATTTTTTCCTGCCTGCAAAGAACGTAAATCGTACTTTGCAAATACAGCGACGGCGGATTGCGTGATCTCAAAGAACGTAAATGTATAAGAAGAGACAACTCGTTACTTTGAAAATGTGCCGCGACGATTTTGACCGTATCTGAAAGGTTGAGATGAGGAGTTCGTCTCCCTTTTGACTATGTGCGCGGCAGATTTTTGATTTTCGCCTCGAATGCGGAAAATGCCAACAAAAGAGAAGAAAACACTTCCGGTCGAGCCAGCGAACAAGGTGGATGGTCTTTTTCTCTGTGGTCTTGTGAATTGTGGAATTTTTTGTCAAGTTTATAGTTACAGTGATATTTTGAGAATTGATATATACACAAATTGAGAGACAAAGTGTGCAGTGCCAAGACACAACATTGTGCATAATTTTTGGGAACGGCCGAAGGTAAGCTGTGTCCTATTTACTTCTTTTGATTTTGTGCAAATTTATAAACTCGTGCAAGCATGGTGAAACGTGGGTTGGGGGTAGTTTTAGACGGCGCCATGGCGTTGGCTGATGCAATTGAAGGTGTAGGTGAAAATTGTAGTGAGCCAAAAGAGGCAGCACTACAATGGAAAACATTTAAAAGGAAGAAAAAAATACCTCAAAAAGTGAAAATTTGTGGGTGCTTAGTAGCGGGGCTTCCATGGATGAAGATGAGGAATACATAGCTAAGGCACTCCATAACGGGAAAATTGTAACGGCAGAAAAAGGCGGTTCTTCTGCATCAAAGGTTACACATACATCGAACAGTGAACAGTTAGAAATTGATACAAATGGTAGAGATAGGGGAAATACGAAAGTAGGAGAGGAACATGGAAATAAGAAGATAGGCAATGAAGAACCATGATGGTAAACCATGGGTACTTTTTGATACCTCGCGTTCTGAAATAATTCAGAAGAAGTGGATACGAAATGGCTTGTATTTATGGGCCAAAATAAAAGACTGCAATATTGAAGGTATTGACACTATTAGGGCAATCGGGGTTACGTTATACAAAGTTTTATTTGAAAATGTTTTTTATGCAAATAGGTGCTTGAATAATGAAAAACTAAAAAGTGCAAATATCAGAACCTTCATACCGAGGTCCTTTCTAGAAACGTATGGGGTAATAAGAAATATTCCGGTAGAATACTCCGATGCAGAAATTAGAAGTGGCTTAAAGTCGGTGGTAGAAGTTACCTCCATTCAAAGATTCACTAGAAGGGAGAACAAAGAATGTGAAAATAGAGTTCCAACTCTATCTGTGAAAATTGGTTTTGCTGGGGATCAGCTGCCAAAAGAGGTAATCTTAGACCACACGATCTTAGACGTAACACAATTTTTTCCGATGTTAAGGCAGTGCTACAAATGCGGCAGAATAGGGCACACTCAGAAAACATGTAGGTCGGAGAAGAGATGTCTCAAATGCGGAAATAAAGGTGGTTGTGTTACCAACTGTGGTATACCTATGTGTGTTTTATGCGGGGATGCAAAGCATAACGCTTTCGACAGGGTGAACTGCCCAACCTGGGAAAAGGAAAACAACATAATCAAAATTATGACCCTGAAGAAACAGATAAGAAGAGAGGTACTCACTGAGTATAAAGCTTCCACTGGAAACAGATTTGAACTGTTAAGTGATGACCATTTTCCGGGACTAGACAATGAACTGAACCCGTTCAGAGATAACCAATGCGAGGTAAATATAATTATGACGCCAAATACTTATGCGTCCCAGGTTAAAAAAAATAGTCAAAAGCCGTAAAGGCGAAATATACTACAAGAAAGACCGGTACGGCAAAAAGCGACTCAGCAAAATCAGCAGAAGAATGGTGTGGCCTTTAGCCAACCAAACTTACATGCAGTGTCAGAGTTGGAAAAAATAACCACTGAAATGTCCAAATTTGCGAGGGATGCTTTCAGACAAATCAACTTTCCTGCGGGTGTAAATGCCTTTGTCCATTTCAGTGAAAGATTAAAGCAACAATTTTCGAATTTTGAACTTAAAAATGTAGCGGAAAGGGGGGAAGTAGAAAATAGTCAGCATGAAGATTCTTCAATATAACATCCAGTCTTTGAAAAAAAATGCGAACTGTATTGACCACTTTATAAACACTAAAGATTTTGAAATCGTGAGGTTTTCTCACATGACGACACAGGAAATGCTAAAAAAATATCAAATTTTAATATTGTAGAGAAAAAACGGCCTGGTGGGTACGGTGGGGTCGCAATCGCGCTCCGGAAATCTATCAGATATAAAATTTTCAATTTTTCATCTTATCATGACATCTGTATAGTACAAACAAGAAACTTAACCAAAAATATAATAATTTGCTCCCTGTATTTTGAACCGTCTATGGACATCAACACTTTCAGACATGTAATAACCAACCTTTTTAACACTCTAGAAGCCTATGAAAATGTGATAGTGATGGGCGATTTTAATGCGCGGGCTACAAGATGGGGCGACACAGTTGATACACCTAGGGGAAAATGGTTAAGCTCCTTTGTTGATACATCGACTCTTCGATGCCTCAATAGTGGGGCCACCACTTTCAAACCAAATCTACGAACCAATAATGGTTCGGTTTTAGACCTAACCTTTACGAATATACCGTCAACAGTAAATTGGGAAGTGATATCATGCCACCTTGGCGGTAGCCATCACTACCCAATCTCCTTAAACTGCAATTTTACTAAAACAAAGGTTTGTACCTTTATGTCAAAAAACAAACTTATGTCCTCCCTAAATAAAATTGAATTTGAACCTTCGTCGGACAAGGCAACTAGGGCTATCTCAGATGAAATAAACAAAGCAACCATCACGCTTGACAATAGAACACCAAAATCATGGTGGCATAGCGATCTTAATAAACATTACAGATTATACTCAGCAGCAACCAAAAAATGCAACACGTATCCAACACCCGAAAACTTTGACCGAGCGATTGAATTGAAAAAAATATGGAAAAGCGAGGTTAGGAAGGCTAAAAGGCAAAATTTCTCTGACAGTGTCGAGCGGCTAAACAATCAACCCAACAGCAAGGAAGCATGGAGATTCATCAAGAACTTAAGGGGTACATCAGGCAACGGATCCAACCCCCGGTGGTCAGAAGACAATAACAATCTTTTCCTTCAGCACCTGAAAAATCAGGTAAGCATCAAAAATACTGAGATCTGCATCCCGTGGAACCATTGCGAAGTAAACACCACAATCCCCCTTTTTAATCTGGACGAACTCAACCTCATCTTAAAAAACAAAATGAAAAAATCTGCAGGTGGGCATGACAAAATTACCTATGAAATGATTAGGGCACTATCATTACATGCCAAACAAAATCTTCTCAAGGCACTAAATGACTCCTTCCAACGTGGTCATATTGAGGATCAATGGCGAATCATTAAAGTGATCCCCATTCCAAAACCTGACAAAGACCCAAATGACTAAAAAAATTACAGACCTATATCCTTGATATCTGTACTTCTCAAAATTGTCAATTTAATGGTTAAATCCAGAATTGAACCATGCTTAGCTGAAAATAATTTCCTTTCAAACAGATGTTTCGCATACCGAAAAGGCAGATCTGCGTCGATGTGTCTAAACGAAATCCTACACAATATAGCTTACTATAAAGATCTAGGTTTGAAAGTGGTGGCCACAGTAGTGGATATAAGTAAAGTAACTGTGTCCCAACCTCAGCTCTCTCAAAAAGATTAATGGAGGCGAAGGTGGACAATAAATATATAAGCTGGATAGTCTCCTTTCTGGAGAAAAGAATCCTGAAAATGGGAGGTGAATCAGTCACCATAAATGATGGTCTACCGCAAGGCAGCTGTTTCTCCCCACTCCTTTTCAATTTATATACTAGTCCGTTGCACAACCTAGAAGATGAATCCACTGACATTTTCCAATTTGCAGACGACTTCTTTATAATGACCCATGAGAGATTTTCAATCTGCAACCTCAAAACTTGGAGCAACACTCAAGTCCTTTGTAGACAAATGTGAAAGTTTAAACCTCTCCATAAATCTACAAAAGACCAAGTCAATATATTTTGCGAAGGGTAGTAAAAAACGGATTGATATAAAAATTAATAATCACAGTATTGAACAAGTAAATCGTTTGAATTTCATTGGTAGGACCTTAACGGACTCTCTGAATGTAACGTCTCACTATAAAACACTCATTGACAAGGCAGCAAATAATGTGAAATTACTTAAAATGTTATCAACAGTTAAAGCTGGGGTTAGGCCAAAAACAGCGGTAAACCTTTACAAGAGTCTTGTTCGTTCTAAGATTGAAGTAGCTAAATCGACCACACATAATCTGCCAAAAGGCACCTACAACAAAATTATGGCATTTCAGAATAGTACACTAAGGAGATGTTTAGGGCTAACCCCTTCCACACCGACACATAATATTTATGTGCTGGCAAATGAGTTGGAGCCAAAAGAGAGAGAAAAACTATTAACCTGTCGCGAATTATTAAAATTAAAATCCATAAATATCACTTTATACAACAACATTAAAAATCACTCACAGCTAAAATCTAGTTATTCCGCAACGTATCATGAATTCAAACAGATTTTGGACAAGTTAAGGGGTTTCAACCCACTACCGAAAAAATAAAAATCTAAAAATTATAGAGAAAGTCATAACTGGAAGGAAAGTTGATATACCCAAAGAACAGTTGGTGGCTGAATACCGGAGAATTATACACAAATACAAAAAAAGTGGCTATAAAATTTTTGCCTCTGATGCATCGGGGGGACAAAGTGCCATGGGGTGTGGAGTGTACAACGCAACACACAAACATAAATTCCTTTTCAACATTAATGTCAAAACCTCATCTTCCTTCAGTGAGCTTTGGGCTATAGCAAAAGCTATTGATATAGCTGTGGAGGACAAGCTGAGGAAGGTTG